TGCTCCCGCCGGCACTCACACCTGGTCGATTTTAAACCTGGTCGCGCACACAGACCCAGCGTGAGAGTAGCTGCAAGTTCCCACACTCGAAGCGATGTGGGAGGGCGGCAGAAGATGCCTCACAGCAGAGTCTCCGGCAGGCACGCTGGAGCTGGAACGAGTGTTTTCCGTGTGTCGCCTCCCAGCACCGCCCTTAAGGCCCCTCAGCCCCTGCAACTGCTTGCAGGAGCTGCCTTTGCTTTGTTTGGCAGAGCCTCTCGCTTGCTAGTCGTCCATAGCACAGATACTTAGCTTTACACCAAATAAAACAACTGCAGAGAAAAGAGAGAGAGCGTGGGGTACCTGGCGCTCTGTACCGTGGCGGTCGGGGCTGCCGGGCTCTTGGCAGTCCAAGCCTCGTAGTCCCGCGCCGCTTGGCTCACCGGAGGGCTGAGGAAGAGCAGCTCGTTTCAGCAGGGCCGTCTGCAAGAGGAGCACAAAAGGAAGCACGCTGCGAGCTCAGAAGCAGACGTGATGCTGCTCCAGCCTGCCGCGGTTCCTCCTTAATTTATACCAAACCTTTTCAGGGGGAGGAGAGCGTGCAGCTCTCGCCCAAGCGCAGGAGGCTAAAACGCTGCTCGGTACGCAGGGGCCCAGCAGCTCAAGCTCTCCCCGACGGCGGCCAGGCCACAGCACTGTCCCCTCGTCCGTCCCCTCCCTGGCCAACCCTTTCCTTCCGACACTCGCAAGCAGCCTGTCGCCATCTGCGAGCCGGGGAAGAGCCCGGGCAGCTGCAAGCAGCAATGCCAAGGGCAGGGTTTTCCCTTTTCCGAGAACTCTGAAGGTGGTTTCCCCTCCTGCCCACCACCAGCTCCAGCCAGCCCTGGGGGAAGAAGACAAGCCGTCAGGGGAGGAATTGCTCCTCCAAAGAGTGGCTTCTGGGCGCCAAGTGAAGGTGGAGCCTGTGCCAGCCAGCCAGGAAAGCCATGGGGTCCCTAGCGCGACAGTGGGGTCCCTAGCGCGACAGTGGGGTCCCTAGCGTGAGAGCCTCGCTGCGTGCCGTGGAGAGCTCACGTCTGTAGAGGAATTAATAAAATAAGATTCTGCCACTCGGCGCTCTAGGTGTCCCTGCTTGAGCAGGGGGCTTGCACTAGATGATCTGTAGAGGTCCTGTCCAAGCTCAACCATTCTGTGATTCTGTGTGTGTGATAATGAAAACAAGGTACCTGTTTGAAATCATGTGCTACTGAAATCAATTTCCAGCATTACAATTCTAGCTACTTGCACTCCTAAATTTTCCATGGAGGGCTCCAGGGTGCTCTTAGTGTGGTTTTAGCTTTATATGGGAGCAAAGTGCTCTCCTCTTTTCCCAGCATCCTGTATTTGAAGGGCAGCAGCTCCTGTTTTTTTTTTTGTGTCAAAAAGTACAGGGAATGACCAGAGGAAAAGCCTCCCCTCTGCAGCAGCAGCAGTTTTGTTTGGCCTGTATGTATGAGTAATGAGATCACAGATTAAAAGCAGGAAAATATTGTCAGTTCTTAAGGGACTATCCCACTCCTAGGCCAGCTGAGAAGGCTTTCCGCGTGTTCTGGGCTGGGAACCAAAGCTCACTAATTTGTCCGGTTATGAGCTGAAAAATCCTTGATACTTGCTCTCCCCTTTCCCAAGGGGATCCTCAGGTCTTCACTCTTTGCACGCTGGTCTTCACAAAGCCAAGCTGCTGCTCAGTACACAGCTAAATACCTGCCTTCTAAAAGAAGTTTATTTAATGCAGCTGTATCTCTATATCTGCTTGGGATATGCACAAAAGCAATTAAAAACAGTATCACTGAAGTTGCACAATGAAGCAAGCAGAAATTTGGAAACACCAGAAGATCGGTTAAGCAGCTTTGCTTCAATCCCCTTGCCCATAAGTTTCACGACAGTCTTAAATTACGTAGTCAGTATTATTTTATTTTGGCCATGCTTTATTTGCAAGGCCTCTCCTTTGTTTAGGACGCAGGATGGACTTCGGGGAAAGAGCAAATTTTTGCAGCCCAAGACGCTAGGGCCCTGCTTTATTCACTGCGTAGGACCGGAGGAAGCCTTAAGGAAATGGATTCTGTTCCTGTCTCTGTTCCAGGCAGGATGTGTACTCTGCAGCTGCATCTTTTGTGCATGAGTTCATGAGCATGGACTAATTTCACGCTGGCTAACTTTGGTATTGATAATGTCAACTTTTGGGCAAGCTCAGAAACAAAGGAGTAAAGAACACGTATACGTTATCACCACCAAACCACTGACTCGGAGAGGCCAAAACAAATTATTGACACACCTCTCAAGCCAGTTCCTACGTGATACGATGTGGCAACTTAAAGCAAGTCATTTGACTTCACAGGGGACAGCAAGTTATGTGCTTATCAATTTTCTGGAAGTTTTGGGAAGAGCAGAGCACTTGCACTTGCGGCCACTGTCCTGGGGAGATACTGTGCCATGAGCAGATGATGAGTTGCTCCTGGTTTGATATATCGCTATACATTGCTATAAATACAAATTACTGTGTCTAAAATCTTGAGTGCTTGAGATTCCAGGTAGAGGTGGATTCAGGTATAAACTGCAAAATCTATAGTTATTTCAGTTCAGTTTCTTCTGGCAGCTGCAACTATTCATGACGGGCACTGGAACGGAAGTGGGTGTTCAATGGTATCTAAATAGATCTGACTAAGTTCGACAAAGTAAATGGCAATTTGAACAACCAGTGTAGAGCAACAGCGTAGCATTTAGTTCTTAGCCTTCTTCCAAATGATCTCACAAGCAAGAAGCTAGTTACTGACCTGTATCACTGATAACTTTATTTAGTGGAAAGTGTGAGCAGCCAGTTCTCTGCAATATATTCTGCCACACATGGACAGAATCAGCAGTGATTTGACAGCAATTAACAGCCTTAAAAATGTTTTGGAGAAGGATAACTACCAGGAAGTCAAATGAATGATCCTGCAAGCAGAAACAATGCACATGACCATAAAGTCAACAGATTTTTTTTTATTCATTTCAGTTCAAAATCAACTCTCCTGAGACAAAACCTCTATCAAAGTCACACATAAATGCCACAGAAACCTTAAAATAGAAAGCAATAACTAAAATAAATCGAAATCAATGACTAAAATAAATCCAAATAACAGTCATATTGAAGTCCAGAAGAAACTATGTACCTCCCGAATCACTACTAAACTAAGAAAAAAAGTTAACATCCAAAATG